ATGATAATGCCGATGACCATCAAGATTGGCAGAATGTAAGATTTAGTAGAATGGTCATGGTTGCACCCTGATAGAAAACCTATGCATACCATTTTTAATATCAATAGCAGAAGAAGGATGCTATAAATTTCAAATCAAAGAAATGTCAAAATGACACAAATAATGCTACCTTTCTTAAGAAGGGGATGAACCAACATTTGTATTAAGTTTGGGATAAACTTGTACCAGTAAAGTCTAGATTCTAGAGGCCTTGGCTTGGATATCTTGTGGCATATATTTGATGATCCCATGCAAAAGAAAGGTTTGATGCTATTGCTAGACATCAATGTAGGCTTTTTTTCTTTTGGATCTGGTGAGACCAGAAAAACAAAACCCAGCCCATTTAAGAACAAAACAAGAAGGCCCAATAAGGTACTATCCAGTTAAGTCCACGGACCCAATTGGAAACCGATTCATAAATATCACATTTCACTCTCTTCATGGGCCACTTATGGGCTATGGCCTTATCTTCTTCTTTGATGTTATGAAGCAGGACAAGGCCCAAGGATTGAATCATAAACCTCACCTCGGCCACATTATATTGGAAGAACACTTAAAAAAAGGAGCAGTTTCAATCTTCTTTTTTTCTTCTACCTCGAGATACTCATGACTCATCACCACATCCATTAGAAATCCTTAATTAAAAAACCATTCACTCCAGTGCATAAATCATATTGTTGCTTGCTGATATGTAAATAGAGTAGCTGCTCTGTCGTCCTTCTAACAAGTATCTCACAGATCGAAGTCTTTACCTGACACACCAACTGGGGTGCATGCTGCTGAACTTCCTGATGGAGGTGATATGTCGCTTTTCTAAATTAAAATTTTATTCCTTCTTAATTAATCTTTTTGATACATGTGCTTATAATGTTCATAGGCGTTAAGAATTCTACAAAGAGGTCTCCTGCAATGCCTCGTAGGAGTCCACCACCTCCTACATTCAAAGAGCCTGCGGGGACAGTGTCATGGCCATCAGTTACAGCCAAGGCAGATGGAGGTGGGAGCTCAATGGGGGCTTTTCTGGACTACCAAGCATGCCTAGTAGCCAAGGCTTGACAAAGCTTGATACAAGTAAAAGTGTCAGAATAGAAAACCGTGGTTACTTTCCAGCACGAGACATTCAACTCTTTTGTTGCTGACTTTGATACCAGTAAATATGAAAAGCTTTCAGCAATTTGTTGTTTACAGAGGCAGGTGATTCAAGAGCTGAAACAAGGGTTAGGAATCAAACATGCATCATGCATGTGTTCTAATGGTATAGTACAGCACGCAGAGAGCAAGAAGATTGAAGGATCTGTACTGTGTTGGAGCTCCAACAAGGGATGTTGGATAAATTATCCCCAAATCCTCTGACTCTAAGCAGTGGCATGCACTCATTCGCAGATGCAGATGAGTCAAAGTCGCAGTCCAAATCAGTTGGAATAACGAATGGGCACCAGAATAATAACACAAGTGGCACAAGTAGATAGCTGGAGACTTGGCAAATATAATTTCACTGCAGTTGCTGCTAAATCTAACATACTAGTACAAGGAAGAAACAATAGCATTGGTCACATGAGCGACTTAAAAGACAATAGAAAGCAAACAGGCATGCATCCTAAGCAGAAGGATGGGCTTGTGATTAAAAAATCCCAAGTACCAATCTGGTGAAACCAACAGATTGCCAGAAGGAATAAAAACAAAATGAAATATGTTGGACTTGTTAATTATTCTCAATTTCTGGTGTATCTGATTTCCAAACCAAGTCTCATCAATAGTCTCTTAAGAAAGTTCCAACCAATTAAGCTCCAGCTCCATGATAGTTATCAAACCCACAACTCTTTCAAATCAATCAGGCAGTTAAATAAAGAGGACACCCACTATGCTAATGAGTTGTTGGACTACCAGTTCAGTTTGAAAGTTTCTTTTGCAATAGGATGCCCAAATTAAATGTCTCAAATGTTTCTGCTAACCATAGCATTCATCTTTAACTAGTTTGTTTTACATCAAATAAGTAAAAAGGATGTAGATTCAAAGCACCAAGTTATGGTGGTGATGGCGATAATGATGCACATTCAAGAACATAAAAAAAGGAGGGAGACAATCAGTGATGTCAGACAGTAAAGTAGCAACCTTTTTCTCACAAGCCAAGAAAAAAACTGAATCCCAAAGTGACATTCACTTCATTAAATCTCCACAAGCGGCAATGATTTTATTCTAACAATAAGATTGATAGAGTTTAATCTCTTGTAATGGTTCCAGTTGTAACAAAGAAGTCTAATACATTTTGCTTAAATAAAATATAGCCATAACAAAGAATTCACACCATACACCAAAACAGAACAACAAACATTTTGTTCCTCATTGTGTAGGAGCTTAATATTTATTTTATACTTTTGACAATTTATCAAGCACAATTTTAAAATTTCTTGTTTTAGAAGATTCTGTACAATGCATGAGTACGATCCAAATTGTTTGTTTTCAGAAAGTTCTGCTCTATACTATGTCAGGCAACTACAAATTACAAGAATTAAGCATCCCTATCATTGGCTCTGTTTTTTACCAAATTTGGAGACCAAACATCCCTTATCATTGCTGTATATGAGCATATAACATATACGTTTATCAAAGGCCATCTTATGTAATTTTGAATCATACCATATGTTCCAAATATCTTTTGTACCAACTCCCATCATATGATACTTGTTATACAAAGAGCAACAAGCTACACAAACGATACAAAACCTTCCCATGTACTCACAAAACAGCCAAGCAATAAAGTTTGCCTATTTCGTTTCTGATGGACTACAGGGAATAAGACCTGGTCTATGACGCTAAGCATAAGTAAAACAACTTCAGCCTTGACCATCAATGGAGATACTCTTAACTAACGAAATATCCACAATCAGTCAATTTCTATATTATCAATCCAATATGAGATCAATGTTTATTACAGAAGATGTATTGGAGAAACCCCACCACAGAAAATAATAAGTTCAAGCAAAATAAGACAAATATCAAACGGGTAGCACGTAGAACACATCAATAAAAACAAGACAAATACAAACTGTAACATGTAGAGGAATTTGAGCAGAATCAAACTATAACAACAAAAGAAATCGAGAGATAGACAAAGTGCTCAGAATTTTGTTATGAATGAATTAGAGTTGTCCTCATAATGCATACAGCATCAGATTAACGAGATGTTAGACTCATCATGGCACCATTTCTCAAAAGATACACCAAAAAAAAAAAAACAGAA